TGGCTTTGAGCAAGTAAGCCCGAGCCTGTTTCCCCACTCCTCAAGGAGGGGGATAACTTGGAGGATTCTGAGAAATAAACTGACACATAAAAAACATGCCGTTAAATAAAACTGAAAATTAAAACAAAAACAAAACCTGGTGTAGCTGATCACCACAGTGGCGCCCGTGTAGTCCCAGCTCAAGGGCCTGAGATAGAGGCATCACTTGAGCTCAGGACTTCAAGATCAGCTGTGTATCATCGCAAGACCTTGTCTTAAAAATAACAACAGGGTCAGGGAGATAGCTCAGTAGAATAAACGCTACCCTGGCAAACGCAACAGCCTGAGTTCAATCTCTGGTTCTGCCAAAAAAAAAAAAAAAAGCAGACAGAAGCCTGTCCTTGTGGTAGAACTGAGCACACAGCTCAGCGCTGCAGAGGCACGAGTCATGCATGGTGTTCCGAGGCAAACGCCCTGATTCAAGGCCTGGCCCCGACGCCTAGCGCTGGGTACCCTGAAACAGCCGATTTCTCCTCTCTGTGCTTCACGCTCCTCTGTGGTAAGGGGGCGGGGACCATAGCCCCACCTTCACAGGCTGTTCAGGGGATTAAATGAGCTATGGCACTTAAATTAAGATGCCTCAATATAATCAGGGCTCGGCTGGGGGCCACTAAGCACTCCCCGCTGGGCCTCGGTTTCCTCACCTACAAAATAGGAGCGATGATCTCATGGTTCTATGGCCAGGTCCTCTGCCTTTGGCTCTGTGGTGTTCCTAGAGCTACATGCCCCTGGTCTGAGTGTGACTAGTCCCTCTGGAGGCCATCTGTCTCCTCCAGCCACTCTGTAAGCCTGAGGATCCAAAGCCTCCGCCTCGCCTGGCAGAGCTCTCAGAAAGTGCTCTGGAAAGGGTGCAGTGACTTAACCACAACTGCCACTTTACTGTGTGCTTGTCTTCTGAGCTACCACCACATGCCAGTCCTGAGGGGTTAGTGCCTGAGCCTGTGGAAACCCCTGTGATTATTCCCAGTTATAAAGGCTGAAGAGTGAGGCTCAGAGTGATTAAATAAGTTGCTCAAGGGGACTCAGCTAAAAGTGACCCAAGGGGCATTAGAATCCAAGTAACACATAACAGACAGGATCAGAGCCAACACGTGCCAGGAGGGTGACTGCTGCCTCTACCTCACTGAACTCTCCCAGCGGCCCTGGCTACCACTCTCCTTCCACGGGTAAGAGGCCAGCTGAGCCAGGGGCAGGACTCTTTTTTTTTTTTTTTTCCTGGCAGAACCGGGGATTGAACTCAGAGCCTTGCACTTGCCAGGGAAGCGCTTATTCCACTGAGCCATCTCCCCGCCCCTCTTTTTAGTTTTTGACACAGGATCTTGCTAAGTTGCCCAGGGTGAGGTCAGACCTGTGATCCTCCACCTCGGCCTCCAGGGTGACAGGCCATGTCTGCTGGTCGCTCACTGCCCTTCTAGAGTTCGTGGGCATGCGAGCCATCCAGCCCCAGGTCCTCCCTCCTTCCCTCGAGGCTGTGGCCACATGCACTCCCCACCAAGGCTCCTGGGGAAGGCAGCCCCGTGAGTCCCCACGTGGCTCCCAGAGAAGGTGCTGCCTGGGTTGCTTCCTCACTGTTGCTCTTGCTCAGGCTGGTCTCAAAACTTCTGGGCGTGAGCAATTCTCCTGCCTCAGCCTCCCAAGTAGCTGGGACTGCAGGGATGTGCCACTGTGTCTCATTCACATGGGTGGAGACCAGAGATTCTCAAACAAGGTGTTCCATGGAATCTTGAGGTTATGTGCAGACTTATGAACAGGAGCACCCAGACCTGTCATCACAATTCCAGAGGTGACAAATGATGACTTTGGAAATCTCAAGTCTGCGCCACAACTACCCAATGCAAGGGGCAACCCCCAAGTTTCTGGGTCTTGATCCCTCACTCTGCTTGGATTTAAGCATCACCTTCCTTACGGGACTCTCAGAGAATTAAAGGCAGTAGGCCAGGGCCAGTGACAACCAGACCCCAACCACGCTGCGAAGGTGAATTTATCCCTCCCGGCAATCAACACAGGACTAGCGTGGGCTCAGTCCTGCCAGTGAGGTTCTGCAGCCCAGTCTGGGGGGGTGGGGAAGGATGAGCCACAAATCCTTCCAGGCACTGATTTATGTAGCATTCATGCAGAATTTATTATACAACGAATTTTATTCAATTAAACTTGAAATGCGCCTGGATTCTTAAAGGTTCAGTAGTGATCGCTGGGACAGAGCGATCATAAAACTGGATGGGCTGTCGGAAGGTGTCGGGGAGGAGGTGAGGGTGACATTGCAGCTGATGGGGGATTCGGAGCTGGGGACGTTTGTCATTGGGATGTGTTACAAGTTCGGGCTGTGGAAATTACTCAGTGAAGAATGCACATTAACAATAGCCATGAAATATCAGTTAAGGGAAACTAGGTTGAGAAATGAGACAGCAGGATCTATTAGTGGCTGGCATTGTTCGCGGCAGCCCAGGACGTGATTAAAAGAACTGTCAAGCAGCAGTGGGGATGGAGCAGCGCAGTGCCCTGGGCCTGGCCAGCTCTCTGGGCCTCAGTTTCCCTACCTGCAAAACTGTTTCCCTCTGGGGCTGCTGTGGGGTTTAGCTGAGACCACATGTGTGCATGTGGCTCAGGGGCTGGCATGGGAAGGCCCCTCTACAACGCTGGCTGGCACCGCTGCTACTGAGGATCATCGCAGTCACAACCCTAAAGCACAGCTGTAGGGAGCCCGACCTAGACTTGCAGGAAAGGTACAAGCCAGCAGCCTCAGCTACTTGGGAGGCTGAGGCAGGAGAACTGCAAAGTTGGAGGCCAGCCTGGGCAACACAGGGAGTTCCCATCTCAGCAAACAAATAAATACACATGTGGTAATCAAAATAAGGGGTTTACATGCAGCATTTTAAGAAGTCACATTATTGGGGGGGGGGGACAAGGAAAGCCTACAATAAACCAGGTGCCAGAAGTTTAAATGCACGCTGGCTTCACAATCCCGTATCACCGCACGACAGGGACCACGCGTGCACAGACTGGGAACATGGAGCCTTACAGAGTCGTGCCGTTCGACTCCGTGGGGTGTTCGGCAACTTGTCCCACTTGGATCAGTGCACCAAGGTGAACATGTTCCTCCTTTGGCCTGGGGCTCTCCTGAGACTTCTGAAGCTACCGCAGAAGGGCAAGAGCTTCACACAGCTCAGCCTGTGCCTATGCAGCCTTCTGCTCTTCCCGGGTTGGCAGCTCAGGGAAACACCTGCCCTGTGCCTGGGGGGGCCTTCGGGAGCTGTGTGCTGATAGAGGGGAAGACGGATCCAGAGGGTGGGCCTGGGGGCCCGCGAGTCAGCATCCAGCTGCTCCCAGAGGGACAGGCTCTGGCAACTGGCAAGCTGCCTCGAAGATGGCTTTAGGATACTGTGTACACTGAGTATTTTTGCCATGGCTAGGAGTACAAGGGTATTTTTTTTTAAAGTTCTTTTTTTTTTTTTAATTTGTTTATTTATTTATTTATTTTATGTGTGTGGCCAGCTCAGCCCACCAGGGGGCGGGGCTGGCTGGCATGTGGTGCTGGGGGATTGAACCGCAGTCCCCGTGCTTTGCTTAGCTTAGCTTGTTCTAAGTAGGTGCTCTAGACCACTGAGCCATCTCACCAGCCCCAATATATGGTTGGTTTTTTGTTTTTGTTTTTTTTTGCAGAACCAGGGATTGAACTCAGGTCCTTGAGCTTGCCAGGGAAGCGCTTATTCCACTGAGCCATCTCCCCCACCCTTAAGGGTATTTTTTATAGCACACTTTCTGCCTTTTAGGAAGCACTGGAGATGAGGGCAGAACTGAGTGATTGCTGAAAGCTCCCAGAACATCTACATCCTGGCTGGGCTGCAGAGATCGCAGGACAGGGAAACCCCATGAGTGTGCGTTTCCTGCCTTCCATCCTGCCGTATACACAAAGCATCCTACCCTCTGCCAGGCTAGGGTCTAACTATGGGGCCTGCAGTGCCACTGGCCATGGCCTCCTCCTGAAGGATATTCCTCACTGCTGGGCACTGGGACCTACCTACCCTGCCCAGGGCTCAACAGAACTGACCTGGGGCCCAAAATCCCAGAATCTTGTCTCACTTGCATACCAGTCTCACTTGCAAAAATATGCAGAGAGCTAAGAATTCAACATGTGCCCGAGTAGCCAGCGAGGACGATGGAAACAAGCAGCCTACCCCTGCCTGGAGTGGAGCCCCCTTCTACACAGGAGTTCGATAAATGACTGCTGAGCAGAGTCCATCCGGCGTCACGGCCCTGGCGGTTGGAATGAGCCTGCTCCTCTGAAGCCACTTCCTGTGATTAGCAGCACGGGGTCCTCAGATTCTCAGGGCTGCCTCCCTGCCCTTCATAAATATTCCTCAGCCAAGGACACGGCTGGCACCAGCAGCATCGTGTCTTACGCAGTGTCGTTATGTAGCGGGAGGGAGCTGTGGTGACTGGCGAGTAAAATAGCCATGGCCCAGGGCTGAGGGGCAGAAGCCAGCTGGTGCGACATCACAGGAGTCTCACCACTGTCACCGGGCTGGAAGCGGAAGACCTGGCTGCCTTAAGCTGGACCTGCCCCATGTCACCCGCCACTCCCTCAGCCAGGGCAGGAAGGTCCAGCTTAGCAATGGCAGTGCTCTGCCTGAGGTGCCGTCCACCCTGGAGAGCAGCCTCCCAGCCGCAGCCCCGCATGTGTGGATCCCGGTGTTCCTGAGGCCTCGTCTGTCAATCGGCAGCTGCCCTTCCCACACTGCAGCAGTGATGGGTGGCTCCGAGGTGGCTAAACTTCCAAATCCTGCCTCCCTTCCCCTTTATAAATGTGACGTTTATAGCCCCTTTGGCACAGGTAAATCACAATTACATTTCCAAGGGCCTCTGGTACCATTCCAAATCCTTGAACAACCTTAGTCGGCAGCAGGAGGGCTCATTCATGAGCCTGTCCCTCTTCCATACACATACAGGCGCGCACGAGTGGCTCAAGCCTTTCCCACATTTATTCTTTTCTCCACCTGCCTCCTTCACTTCGTAGCCATCACTTTACCTTTCTTTTCTGTAATACTGAATGCATTCCCACTTCCTCAAAGACCAAGGCCAGCCTGGGGAGGCAGGGACAAAAGTCTTGGGGCCCCCAGTTCCTCCAGGGAAGCAGCAGGGGATGTAAGGTAAAGCTGAGTCCGCACCTAAGACCCACTTTCAGCTCCTCAGGTGAGCGCCACAGGAGCCAGGGTCCCAGAAGGCAAGCTCTCCTCTGCCGTCACCATTACCATCACTGCGGAGGGGCCTGGGATGCTCCCTTCCCTCATCTCCAAGGGCCTCAGGCTCATTCCGATGGCTCATTTTTCTTGTATATTTTTTCTTGATTTCCTTCCTTCATGGCTGCATATCTGGCTACCATGAAGAGATAGTCACTGAGTCTGGAGGGGCCGAGAGAAGCAGAGGAAGGGTGTGAAATGAGAGGTCCCTGCCAGCCAGGTCTACCAGCTTTCAAGGAGGAAGCAGAAGCTGCAGAGCCTGCCCGAGCATCGTGCAGAAGCACAGCGCCTGGCTAGTTAGCATGGATGGACGCCGTGAGGCCAGCTTTCAGAACAGCCGTGGGCTGAGCCAGCCTTAACCCTCAGGGGAGCTTGGGACCAGTCCATGAACTCACTTCACACCCTAGAGTGACCAGGACAGGGGCTTCCCAAACTGGAGCAAGCACTCAGGTCCCAGGACCCTGGCAACATACAGATCCTGATGCAGGAGGGTCAGGCAGGCCTAGGCTTCTGCAGGTCAAATTCCGGCCCAGGCCAGGCTGGCACTGCAGCACCCAAGGCCACACTTGGGCAGAGGCCCCGGCAGCACTCCGGACCTTGGCACTGAACGCGTTCTGGCTCATCCCTTGTGGGCACCAAAGAATGCTGAGTAGCATTTAGACAGCCACCGTCCTGGATGAAAGCACTGCCCTGGAAGGTTTTGGTGCCCAGACCCTAGTCTCTGCATTCTTACAGCCAGTGGTGGTGGGCATTGGACCAGAAGGCTTTCTGCAGGGAAAGCAGCCAGGACAACACACAAGATGCCACGTCTGCCCTTCAGGTGCTCAGTGGCCCCAGCCATGACACCCTGCATGGCTCTCACATCTAGCATCTGTTACCACCTCCTCTGGCCCTTCCAGCCACCTCCTCACCTCTGAGGCCTGTACCATGGGGCATTCCCTGATGGGCAGTCCTCTCCTCCCCACAGGTGGCCCGCTGCCCTCCCTCCTGGAGACTGTAGAGCAGGCTGCTCTGGGTCCTGAGCCTGGACCTTGTGGTCCTGGAGGACAAGGGGTGCATTAGTTTCTTGGAGGCTCCAGAAACCTGCCCAGGGTGGGGAGCAAAGGGCCCCAGAGCATACCCCACTGCAGACCACCAGGCTCCCCAGAGCTTGGGGGCCACTGCTGCTAAGAGGATTCCCTTCCCAGGAGGCAGGGAGCTGCTAGGGACTGAGCCCAGGCTGCATCCCCGTGGGAGGACAATGCACTGTCACTTTGTGCACAACCAGGACAATTCCTAGGGCGCAGTCCTCACTGCACCTGTCCCTAGCTCTCTGCTGGCCCCAGGGCTCCAGCTACACTGCCCCCCCCATGCCAGCCAGGCTGCAGGGACCTTATCAGGGTAGGCTTTGTACTGAGGTGGCTGACTGCAAGGCAGGGGCAGCTGGTATCCACCTGTGTTGGCCCAGCTTACGGGTCCTACCTGGGGCCTCTCACAGAGGGGAGACTGGCTGAGAGGAGCTGATGCCCAGGTCCCCCACCAGGCTTCATCAAGACGCTGCTGCTGAGGGCACCCCTTGCTACTGTCCAGGTCCTCTGTGTTGTTGTTGCTGTTATATATATATATGATAGCTTGGATAATTTTTTTTTTTTTTTTTTTTGGTACTGGGGATCAAACTCATGACTCTGCACTTGCCAGGTAGGTCCCTATGTCACTGAGCTATCTCCCAGGCTGTGCAGTTCCTTTATACTTAGGCTCATTTCTGTGGCTTTTACAGCAGTCTCCCAAGGACAGCTTAGCCTCTTCAGACAAAGTGACACCACCTGCCACCTGGCACACAGAGGCCACACACAGACCTCTGGGCAGGACAAAACAGACTCAGTCTGTACTGTTCCCCAGTCCTGCTGACTACTGTTCTGCCTCCCAGATGTGCCTGAGCCCTCAGAGAGGGACTCTCATGCGCCGCTGATTATGTACCTGTTTAAGAACTTGGCCACATTTGCATCGGTCTCTCCCATCTGGACAAGAGGCACCACGCTGGAAAGAGAAGCAGCACACAGTCACTCGGCATGGCGTGGGCGAACACACTTGGGCGTCTGGGGCCTCGACCAGCACTTCCCCAGTGGTCATTATTCCGACCTCCATAAGGACAAACCCTGCCAGCCCCACTTCATGACAGGAGTCATGAAGGCCATCCACCTCGCTCCTGGACATGTGGCCTGCCCAAGGGGGGATGGAGGAATACGAAGGGAGAGGACTGGGCTGCCCCACATCCCAGCCAGCTGGTCTCTGTGCCACTGGGTCTGGGGTCCTCCCTGCATCAGCTGGAGTGGTCACGCTCCAGCTTTCAGAGGAATCTGGCTCTCATGCCCAAGCACGCTCCCACTTACTGCACCCATGACTCTGTGTTTTGGGGGTCCCGGTCAGTCTGTGCAGACATTTCAGATAGCAGGGGGTCTGCTGAGCACCTACAGTGTGCCAGGGGCTGCTGGGCCCTTCGTGTGCACCACTGTTGCTGCATCACCTGTTGGGAGGCACTGTCTCCACACCTACCCTTGGGTTCCTGCCCTGTCCCAGGCCACAAGGTGCCTAGTAGCCTATACAGGAGGTGGCCCAGGCCTAGCCTGTGGGTACTTCCAATATGCATGGAGCTTTGTTACCTAGAGGGGACCCACCTGTACGTCTCCCCTCCCTGGCAGTACGCCTGCTGGTCATCACTTAGCTGTGGCCTGATGGCTTTACCATGGCCAAATGTCAGCCTGACCGCCCCCTTTGTTGGGCCTCTGGTTTGTTTCCAACTTTTTGCTGTTCTGAGCACTGACGTGGATGGCTTGGCACAAACGGCATTCTTTGCTTTGCCACCAACATGTGTCGTTACACAGAAATCCTCAACATCTGTCTGACCCGAAACCTCTTCATGTGAGGTAAAACCTTTGTGATATGGGGCCAAAGGAAGAGCTCAGGGTGTGACCCAGAGAGACCTGAGCCCAGGGCTGCATTGTGCTGCTGAGCCTGGCCACAATGTCACCTCTCTGTCTTGGGTCTGGGATCCTCCCTGGACCTCATGGCTCTCTGAGTCCATTTCTCAGCTCCTATAAATTGGGGCTGCCCCCACCTGTCCTAGGAACTCCCGTGTGAGACTAGGACAGCGAGACTACTCAGTAAGACTGTGAGCGTGGAATGCCTGGCACAGCCTCGCTTCTTACCAAGGCAGAGCTCTATTCCGCTCTAAGCTGGGTGGGTCCTAGCCGAAGGGAGATATGAAGGAAGCTGTCAAGTTCCTCTTGCTAAGTTGTCCTTGAAAAGGCTGCAAGTAGATTGGGGGCGTGGGGCCTCCCACCCCTCTCCTTCTCGATGCTCATTTGGAGCAGGGCTATGTTGGGGCAGCAGGTGACTGGGTTGTTGACAGATTCCGCCTGGGGTCCTCCCCCACCACGCAGCCCCTCCAGCCCTTCTCCCCTGCAGGGAGGTGGCCCAGAACCAACCACAGGCTTCCTGTCGCTCTACCGCTGCTCCCTGTGCAATGTGGGGCTCTGAGGACAGGGAGCCGTCTGTGCTGGCTTCTATGGCGCCTGGGGAAGGTCAGGCGGTGCAGAGCCCAACCCCGCCCCCTTACCGTCTCTCAGCTCGGCGGCACACGGCACGGCAGAAGTGCAGTGCAGAGCTGCTCTTGCCTCCTGACTGAAAGGAGAAAGCAGGTGTCGGCCAGGCAGTGTGCAGCTGCAGCAGGCTCCCTGGGACAGCCAGGTCTGTTTCCTCCCTTGGCCATGTTCTGCTTCCAGGAGCCCTGCCCGGCACACCCCCGGGGAATCTGCATCTGAAGTGAGCCAGGAGGGAGAAGCGAGGACCTGGAGGGCCTAGGGGGCTGGCAACAGCTTGTCACGGGTAAAGGCTCATCACTGGTAAGAAGGGGCACTTTTTTAAAATTTGTGTGTGTGTGTGTGTGTGTGCGCGCGCACGCGGCCAGCTCAGCCCACCAGGGGCGGGGCTGGCTGGCATGTGGTGCTGGGGGATTGAACTGCAGATCCTGTGCTTTGCTTAGCTTGTTCTAAGTAGGTGCTTTAGACCACTGAGCCATCTCACCAGCCCAGAAGGGGCACTTATACAAGCAAGCTCATCGGTTTGTCCATGTGCCTGGCCACTGCCACCCCAGGGTGAGGCGGTGATACCCACCGGCAGGATGAAGGCTGTGAGGGGCGGGAGCTGTCTGGAGTAGCTGTCGATCCACTGCTCCAGTTCCAGGATGGGCCCTGCCTCGAAAGCCGTGTGTTCTGAGGAGTCACAGAGCACAGAACATGAGGACCAGCTCACTAGAGTATCAGTGATGTCCCATGTCCCTTCCTCCTGGTGTCCTGCAGATGGCTTCCTCAGACCCACAATGTGCCCCCCAGCAGTGACGGGCAAGGCGGCCAGACCTACTCGTGGGCCTCAGGGTCTGCGCTTCCAGAAGGGGACCCCAGGAGAAAGATCCCACAGGGCATCTGACCACCCACACAGCCCAGGGAATTACTTAAGTGAGCCTCCCTGGCAGAGGACTGTGGAGTGGCCAGGGCTGCGCCAACGTCCTGCAGTGTGCACTGGATCTGCAGAGGAAGAGGCAAGAAGAAAGGCTGAGCGGCAGCCGGCTGGGCAGAACGCCAGGGTTCTCCGGGCAGAGATGCCCGTGAGCGTCAGGAGTCCCAGCAGCGTCAGGAGGAGCCTTGCGGGCTCTGACGCCCCGCTGCCACACACCCAGGCCCTTGTGAGGTTCTCTTCTTTTCTCTGCACCGACAGCTCTGGTTTTCCAGGCGCTGGGCCAAGGGCCTGCACGGGACAGCTCTACCTTACTATGAGGGCCACAGTGTGTGGAGGGCAGGGGCAGAGCGCTCCAGCCCAGGCCGGACGCCCGTGCATGTGCAGAGAAAGGTTTGGGCACCTCTGAAAGCATTCTGGGTGTTCCCCTCCTCTGGGGGGCTCAGAGGCCCAGCTCCTTTGTCAGTAGGGAGCACAACAGTGATACTGAGAAGCGTGGGGCCTGCGGGCTGCCGTGGGTTGCTCAGCCTGGGTGCACGGCCCTCTGGTCGGTCTGTGTGCTGGCGTGTGTACCACGCATTGTGGACCACGTGGCTGCATTCCTGCAATGTACCAGATGTTGGCAGCACTCCTGCTCCAGATGTGACAGCCTCAACGTCATCCCAAATGGCCTCAGACGTCCCCAGCGGGGCTGGGTGTTACACAGTGCACCCCCACCAGCATGATTCCTGCCCCTCCCTGCGAGAGCGGGTGCACTCAGCACACCCACGTCACAGGCGTCACAGGCGAAGAGACTGAGGCCTACAGGGGAAGAGGGTCTAGCACCGCCCGGAAGTAACAGCCAGATGTTGAACTGAGCGACGGCCTCAGGCCACCGGGATGGGGACTCCCACCTTGGGGACAGGGGATGTTACTTACTTTCTGAAGCTCCTCAGCAAACGCATGGCCCTTTTCTGTGACTAATTCCATGGCAAATCTAAGAGGAAGAAGGAAGAAGAGTCTGCCTGTGGCACACCGCTGAGAAGAGGCGCTATGCTCTCGGGTGGGGGCCATTTGGCTACAACAGCATGGCGCTATTTTTCTTGCTGGCAACAGGAACATCACAAGCTTCCAGTTGGATGGGATATTTGTATAAGAAAATGCCTTTTCTTATGCTCATTCCCAGTCAATAATTCCTTTGGGGGCTTCCCCTGCCTGGGTCCTGGTGATTCAGTGGGGACAGAAGGTGACACAGGCTCTGTCCAGCTGGAGGGGGACATTTGAGTTGAGTACCACATGGCCACATGGGAAGCTGCAAGCCGAGCTATGTGCTCTGTAAAGGACAGAGTGAGGGAAGCTTAATGCGGCCTCAGCTGGGGAGCAGGGAGGACTTCCTGGGAGAAGCATGCTGAAGGTGAGGCTTCAGCGACTGAGTAGGAGTTCCAGGTAAGGCAGGCTGAAGCAGGGAACAAACTGCTCATGACTTTGCACTCCCTTCCTGTGCCACTTGGGAGCCTGGCAGAAAACAGGGGTACACTAGACAGATTCCCAGAAGAGATCTTACCAAAGGGACACTTCCCAGAGCAGAGTTAGGGAAACTGATGATGAAAGACAGAGGCTAGCAAGAGCAGGGACAAAGAAAGGGACAGGGAAGGGGAAGGTGGCCCTGACTCCTGACTCTGGATTGTGCTGGGTGTGGGGGCCACAACAGTAGCCACAGAGCAGGGGGGCAGGTAGGAGCCCGGTGCTCCAGGGCCACACAGCTGGGGGTAGAGGCACCTCTCTCTGTTCTCAAACCCCTGATGCCACTAGCCACAGGCTAGAGCTCCTGAAGGCCAGCAGAGCCAGGTGATTCAGTCACCAGGTGACCAGCTCAGCTTCCACACACCGGGTAGAGTGGAGGGAAAAGATACGAAAGAGAGTTTCGGTTTGTGTCTAGATGCCCCCCAAAGGCTCATGCACTTGTAGGTGGGGCATGGTGGATTTGGCTGGATCTAGAGTCTGTGATGCTGGGATTAAGGGCTTATGATTACTGAATTAGTACACTGATGGCTTTGGCATAGTTCTGGGTATGGATAATGCGAAGGCACGCCCTGAGTGTGGATGGGAGAGGCTTGTAGGCTGGATGTGACAAAAGGGAACAGGGGGCTTGCTGCTTGCTGCTTGCTGCCTTCTGCCTGGCTTGTCATTAACAGTTTCTCCTCTGCTGCCCCTCTGCCATGCTGCCCTGCCTTAGAGCCAGCCAACTGCGGGCTGAAACCCCTACAAACTGTGAGCTAAATTCAGCAGCATAAATGCCTGCCTGGCAAGTGCCAAGTCCCAAGTTCGATCCCTGGGACTGCAAAAACAAAAACAAAAAACTGAGCTAAATAAACCTTGTCACTTTTCACCTTAGGTGTCGGGTATTCTGTCTCAGCAACAAGAAAAGTAACTAAGACAAGGAGCAAATGAAGAATAAGGTGAGAAGGAAAAAGCAAACCCAGGACTGGTTGTCCCATGCTCGTCTCCTCTCTAGACTGCAAGGAAGGGCTATGTGGGTTGGGACACTGGCTTTGTCCCAGCAGCGCTCCTGGTGGCTGGTACTCAGCAGGTACCAGAAAATAGCTGCTCATGGAAAGATTCTGTGGGACACGTCTGTCTGTGGCCCCCTGAAGGCAGCATGCAGGCTGAGTTTAGCAGAGCCCAGCACAGAGGTGCTCGGTCAAAGCCCAACAGAGGGAGGATCCGTGACTGAGGCTGCACACCCACCTCTGGCCCCTCATAGCTGGGAGACCCTGACTCGCTGCCCTGCCAATTCTGCATGGCTGACGCTGGGACTCGCCTTCCCTGCCCTGCCCAGCTCATCTTCTGGCCCCCCCACGCCAAGGGCCTGGCCCTCTCTACCCTGCTGGCACACCATCTATTCCTGCCACTGTCTGTCCTGCAAAATCTCATCCAGTCTGCTCACCCCTGCGCAGTGATTAACATGAACAGGTAAGTTAAGACGACAGTTCTCTACCACATAGAGGCGGACACTATTTCTAGGATCGATTACGGTTCCCAATACGTGTGTCACCTGAAAAGTTACAGACCCGGGGGTGGAAGGAAAGGTGGATGCAGATGGAGGTGGGGAACAGATGCTGGCACAGGCAGAAGGGGGAGGTGACCTTGTGGCTTCCCGGAGCTCACCAGCCACGCTTTCTGGCTGCCCAAGGGTGGACACGGTCCACGATGGCCCAGCACTACCGAGAGCTTCACAGCCATGACACTCGCCGGTGCCCGGTTCACACTCGCCCTTAAGGCCAACCCCATCTCCCTTACCCAATGGCTGAACTCAGTTCATCTGTAGTTCCCAAAGCTTCGAACACCTGGTCATCTTTGGGCCTCCTTTCTCCTGTGAAGGTGCTAGAAAACCCTGTGGAAAAATATTGAGTCCCCAGAAATTAGATTTTCCCTCCCCCCAGATATTGTTTTTCTTAAAAAAAAAAAAAAACTTTCAATGTCAAGTACAACAAAGATACAGAAAGGTGCTGATATCCTAGGTATGCAGATTATGAACTGCCACTAATGGAGCAGACCTCTGTGACAGCTCCAGACCTGAACTTGACCAGTATCCCAGAGACCCCCACGGACCTCCTTCCAGGCACCACTCCCAAGTGTAACCACTAGTCCTACTTCTTCTCATACACTCTTTGTTCAAACTGAAAGCTCACACACTAACCATCCTGGCAAAGGAAAGAACACCTGTCACATCACACACACATTACTGCTACACTGCATACGCAATTGGAGTCCTTTCCACCTCTGCCTAGATGACGGCTGCTGCCAGGCACTACCAGTGTAGGGGCTGCCAAGCTAGCCTGGCCCTCACAGGCAGGCCATGGTGCTCTGATAAATACATGATGTCACAGAGCATCATCAGGCCGCTCTGTGATGGTGACAAATCAGGATCAAAATAAAATAAGGCCACTGTGTAGTCACATCTCAGCACATAAGATTGTCTAGATGACAATGCCCAGGTGCGCCTTGCCTGGCTGTTGTAGGCGAGTGCAGCACTTCTAGCCATAAAGGCTTTAGCGCCTTTTGTCTCTCTCACTTTCAAGGAAATATTCAGACACCCATTTAAAGAATCAGCCCGCTTCCTGAGAGTGTCCACTCCACAGCAAAGACCACCTCTTCAATCCTCCCCCAAAGCAGCGAGCACAAGCTGTCTTATCCTAAGTCCTCCACAGCACCGCCTACCGGGCGGGACAGTCTGCCACTGGCCCACCTCCTGCCTTCTTTTTTTTTTTTTTCCCCCATAATTTTATTGAGAAATAAATAGTAACGAGACAGTTTCAAAACAAATTGATAGGACAGTTCCAATAATTAACACATTGCACACTACCTTCCTACTGGTTATTTGTTGTACAAGATATCCTATTTACAAACACTATTAGAACAGACATGATATCCTATTTACAAACGCTATTAGAACAAATCCCTCTATTCCTTGAATTAAGAGAATATGCTTTATATCTATCCTAACCATTTTATTTTTTTTTTAATTTTTTTTTATTTTTTATTTATTTGAGAGAGAGAGAGAGAGAGAGTGTGGTGTGTGTGTGTGGCCAGCTCAGCCCACCAGGGGGCGGGGCTGGCTGGCATGTGGTGCTGGGGGATTGAACCGCGGTCCCTGATGCTCTGCCAAGCTTGTTCTAAGTAGGTGCCTTAGACCACTGAGCCATCTCTCCAGCCCCTATCCTAACCATTTTAAATACAGATACAAAATGATCATTCATATCCCCTTTTTTTTGTTGAGTTCCATTATTTGAATATTATAGGTGTGTAAACTCAGCAAAATATTCCAAAATAGTCCAGTAGTCCATAATAGTATTGCGTCTTCCACTTGACTGGCAATGTCAGAATTTGTTGACCTGAGTTCCCTACAGCTCAACACAACATGGCTTTATTTCTTGTACTTCATTTTTATACTTTTCTGCTGGGTGGTTAAGACCAAGATAAAGCAGGACCTATATAACATTCTGGTCTTCTGAATATGTGCTGCTTGTTATGACACGCCAGTTGCTGCTGTGTTATCTCTCGGGTAGATGATTGTTTAAAAAGGAAGGGAGTGGTGAATGAAGGCAGGAGACAGGAAAAGGAGTGTTGTGGGACTGTCCTGCAACAATGTTGTATAGGGTTAGATTTCTGGACTTACGTGTAAACATACATAGTTCTTTATTCCTATTTTTTAAATATATTTTAATTTTTAAAATTTTTTGTTATGTTCTGTAGTGACTTAAAGTTTAACATATCAATACTTGATGAAAAATACCTGTTCCATGTTACGCCTAAGATGTTTGATATTCAGACAGACAGTGAGGTTAAGCTCAACAGCCTAGGTTATATGGTAATAACAACAAGCTTCTCTTCTGGAAGGTTAACAACCTAAGTTTGCAGACCAAAAATTAGAGAAAAAGAAGGGTCATCAAGGAAAGCCAACATTTTGGCCCTAGCCTTCCAAGATAAATTAAGACTCAGGACATATGAGAACCTATACTGTAACATCATGTAACTCAGTTGTGTCCCAAATTTTCTGATCAAGGAGATTATGAGGCCAAAGAGGAAAGTGATCAATGATGTAGAGTGTGCCTAAGGAGAGTCACATGGAGAGAAAATATTCTCTCAGGCTGTCACAGAAAGCAAATTGGCCAAGCAATGGCCATGACTCATCCACATGGCTGACACTGACAAAGGATCTATAATCTGAGGTACAGGGTCTCAGGATAAATCTTGAGGGGATTTGACTGACCTTATCAGAACCTCCTGCCTTCTGATAAGTCACATCCCCAACGGTGTTCGCCACATTCCTGATGGTGTTCGACGCATCCCCAATGGTGTTCGCCTAAAGGCTGTCCCTGGAGGTCTTTGGTAGTTGGGCACGGACACTACCACCTGACATTTATTATTCCTACCCCTTTTCTTTTTATTATTGGTATGGTACCACATATAAAAAAGTTTTTCTCATTTTGATATTTTTCAGTATATAGCTCAGCAGCATAAAGTATACCCTACGTAAGGGCCAAGGAGATAGCTCAGTGGCATAAGTGCCTCCCTGGCAAGTGCAAGGTCTGGAGTTTGATTCCTGGTAATGGGAAAAAAAAAGACCCTATGTATATGTTTATATTTTTAGGGGAGGTTTATTTTTTGTTTTTGGTGCCGAGGACTGAACCCAGGGCTTCCAGCTTGCTAGGCAAGCATTCTACCACTGAGCCAAATCCCCAGCCCCTATATTTTTAGTATATAAGTATAAATCTAACAGGCAATACCTAGTAGTGAGTCACATGATTTTAAACTTCGGAATATAGTATCTTACTAAAGCCAGGTATGGTCATAAATGCCCGTAATACAAGCTACTAGGACAGGAGGATTTACGTTCAAGACCAGCCTGGGCAACTTAGAGATCCCACCTCAAAATAAAAAGGGCTGGGAATGTAGCTCAGTAGTAGAGTGCTTGCCTATCACATTCAAGGCCCTGGGTTCAACTCTTAGTACTGCAAAAAAAAGAACATGGTACCATATGATAAATACTGTATCTGCTCATTTGTTTTGTTTTTGGAGACAGGGTCTCAATATGTACTTGAGGCAGGCGTTGAACTTACTATATAGACCAGGCTAGCCTCAACTCAAGGCAACCCTCCTGCCTGCCTCAGCCTCCTGAGTGCTGGGATTACAGGCATGCACCACCATGCTCTGCATCTGTTTTCTGCACAATACATTCCGGTAGTTTTTTAGTTAACAAAGTAATATTGCTTA